AAGTAAGGCCTGAACGACACTGGAAAAAACAGTCTTTGTGAGTTTAAAAAGTGCAGCTCTTTACTCTCAAGAAAAAAAAAAAAAATTGTGAATTTTCAGCTGAATTCCGTCCGAGTAATGTTGAAAATAACATTATACTGACTGGAAATAGATATGCTTACAAAAGAAAGACTAATGCTTGTTCAGACCTTCTTAAAAAACCAAGTCCTACTGAATATCATTTTAAATGTAAGGCTCCCTTTGAACCCGTGTGACCATGTGTAGAAAATTTTTTAACACTCTGCAAAAAAAGTTTCACATCTGTTGAAATATCCGTGCAGAAACTTCGGACTCAAAAACAACTTCACGTCTTTATACACGGCAATCATCTGCTTTTTTCCATATCTCTTGACAGAACCTGCAATGTGGCATGATCAGTAGAAAGTTGAAGATCCCACTAACTAAAAGTGAGTGTGGAGTGGTTCATAGATGACAGGTAATTTAAGCCGAGTCTATTTGTTCAGTCGTACTAAAAATACTAAGTAACTTGAAAGGTGGCAATTTGAATTGCTGCCTCTTGGCGTTTTGCCAGGAATTTGTAGTTTTCAAACTCATTGTAAGGATACTCGTGCAGAAAAATGCAGCAAAAACTTCCATTACAAACACTTAATTTCGCTGGTTTTGTTGTGGTAGTTTATGACGCTGGTGAAAGAGAAAAGAGTTCAATATCTGTTTTTGTATTACATATTTGTACATCGGAATTCTGCTCATGGAAGTTATTTGTTTATTGCTGCTTAGGCACATTATGTGACACTAAACGGCCGTAAAGTTTAGCTAACTCGTTTTCATTTAATGAATGGATTTTAACTGACAGACGCTAATTGCACGTTAAGTGTTTTGCCAACACGGAGCTGAGGAAGGACGACTAATCAGTTGACTTCTCATAAGTGGGATTATTATTATTCAGAATTTACTGATTAAATTTTTCAGTCTCATTACAAAAGAATGTCGACAGGTATTTTATTTGACGATATGTTCCTGGTAAAGGATTTTGATCCTGATGGTAAGAAGTTTGACCGTGTCTCAAGGTTATTTTGTGACTCTGAATCTTTTAAAATGGAACTGATATTGGACGTCAACACCCAAATGTTAGTATATTCTCTATCATTTATGATGGAATCAATCCTAATTTTTTATCATTTATTTTTTATGCAAATTATCTACTTGCTGTCTCTTATGTACTTTTTCTTGTGTGAGGGCAGTAGCGACCTTTTGAAAAATAAGTTTTAGTTAATTAGTGTTTAACTGAGTTACAGTTTGTTTCTATTGTCGTTCATTACTTGACTGAACACTTGTTTTCACTTCAAGTAAAAGATATGCATGTTTAACTGTGGCTTTTTTAAGTTATCCAATGCATCTAAACGACAAATTTCGTCTGGTTTTAGCGACCACACTTCGTGATGATGGCTTACCTGACGACAAAGAATATGATCCACTGGTATGCTCTCAAACGTATTGATACTCTCTAAATAGGTTTGACTTAATGAAAAAATACTGTCTCAATTTATTTGCTGACTCTGTAAGATTTATTTAGGCTCATTATCCTCGTATGGATACTTTTGAGTATGTTATGTTTGGGAAAGTGTATCGTATTGAAGAGGAAGAATCTAATGCAGAATCGAATACTCTAGCGGCATATGCTTCATTTGGTGGTTTGTTGATGAGGTTGAAAGGAGATGCTAACAACCTGCATGGTTTTGAACTTGATTCGAGCATCTATTTGCTGATGAAAAGGATTACTTTCTAATCATTTTTACGCGGTTTTCAGAACCCTCAGTTACAACGATGACTTTTGGCTGAAGATTTGGAAAACTGGGAATTTAAAACAAGGGTAGATTTTGTCCTAGAAACCTATTGTTAATAGTGACCTGGTATGCGATATTTCCTCGCATTTGATCATTTTTCAAAGAAAACTGTGTTTGCTGCTTGCATTAATTCACCCATACTTTTTCTTTTGTTATACGTGTCAGTTTTTGCTCTTGATGTATGCTTTATATTTATTTTCCATGGTGTTTTTTTGACTGTAACGAGACGAATATGAGGGCTATTTTTAGTTATTGTTTTCTTAGATTGTTTATTTGTTGTTCGCGTGTTTGATCTCTTATCGTCAACAAGAATGTAGTTTAACGGACGTTGGTTGTTTGTATAGATTTGTTTATTGTCTTTGAATGTAATAAATTTTTGCAGATTTTTCGTTTTTTTTTCTTTTTTTTTGTGTAACTGTGTTTGGACGGTGGAGTTCTCTCATACTGCAGTAGTTTAAGTAACGAGATTGCTATTTTTTCAGTGGACAGGGGAGTTCATTAAGGTTTGAAAGGTAAAAAAGGTTGGCGGGTTTTGTCGTAAAGAAATTACTGCCAACATCTTTAGGGGGGTTCTTGTTTTTTTTT